GTTTTACAGTGTGCCCCACAATTTCGCCCCCACCATGTACCATTTATAAACTTTTGGCACTCTCTCTGCCAAATGTATACTCCTGCTTTAACGCCTTAACAGTACTGAAATCCGTGTGAATCTGCGCATGAAAAATTCGCATCAATCGATCATGAACAGTCTTAATCAGTACTGATTTGCCAACGCCGGCACCACCGCTCACGAGTATGCAAAGAGGTCCATTTTCGAAAGATCGACGCACGCCTCGAACAATGTGGTCGGCAATTGCACGTTGCTCAGCGTTCAGCATACGTTCCATTTGCAAATACTCGCAGTCACTCGTAACAACGGAACGAAACGTATCAATCGAACGAACGGGGTGGTGAAAGCCTAGCTCCACACCAATATCCACAGCTGCGCCGCATCGAGACGTATCGTTATCCAGATCGTCATTTTTATCTTCCTCATGCAATGCGTACTCAAATACGCGCATCCACGAATCACAACTGATGGAATATTCTTTCCTCTTAGACATGATAGATTCCTCGTTTGCCACAAATGTCCGCCCTGTTAGTGCCGCGCTGCCCTGCCCTGCCCTACGTCACGCTGCCCTGCGCACGCCCTGCTGCGTCGCGCTGCCCGTGCACGCCCTGCCCTGCCCTGCCCGCGCGCAGCTCGCTGCCGCGCCGCCGCCCTGCTCGCGCGCCGCTCGCCGCCGCGCGCCCTGCCCTGCCCGTGCGCCGCGCACCGCCGCATCGCCCTGCCCGCGCGCCGCTCGCCGCCGCGCCCCTGCCCTGCCCGCGCGCCGCTCGCCGCGCCACGTTGCCCTGCCCGTGCACTGCTCGTCGCCGCGCGCCCTGCCCTGCCCGAGCGCTGCTCGCCGCCGCGCGCCCTGCCCTGCCCGCGCGCCGCTTGCCGTCGCACCGCCCTGCCCGCACACTGCTCGCCGCCGCGCCGCCGCCTTGCCCGCACGCTGCTCGCCACCGCGCTACCCTGCCCTGCCCGCACGTCGCTGGCCGCCACGCCGCCCTACCTGAGCGCCGCTCGTTGCCGCGCCGCCCTGCCCTGCCCGCGTGCCGCCCTACTGGCTGCTGCCCTGCCCTAATCTGCTAGAACGTCGCCCTGCTGGCCGCCGCCCTGCCTTGCCCTGCCTGCGTGCTGCCCTACTGCTAGCGCGCCCGACTGCTCTGCCCTCTATGGCCACTCTCAGCGTCCTCAACTTCGATCCGGAGGGCCGCCCGATAGAGTTTGATGCATCGCTCGACGACTTACAGCTGTACTTACTGAGCGACTCTAGGGACGGTGTTTCGCTGTTTGACCTCACGTCTGGCGCCTCTCTCGCCCCTGCCGCCACAGCTGACAGTACGACTCGCTCACAGTGGCTTACCCGTGACGCTGCTGCTCGCCTAGCTGTTCGCAACCACCTGCCGTTAGCCGAACGCACTCACTTTGGCCAGCACAAGACTGCTAGAGCCCTGTACGACGCTGTAGTTGCTCGTTACTCCTCCCCGGCCACTGCTGCTCTAGGCTGCCTTCTCCTGCCCTACCCGTTCCCCGAGCTGTCCGCCCTTGCCACAGTCGCCGACCTCATCACTCACCTTCACACTGGTGACACTCACTACCGCGCTGCGCTTCCCGCCGAGTTCCTCGTCAAGATCCCTCCTCCTATGTACATCACTCTCTACTTCATAGTCACCCGCCTCCCTAACTCTCTTAGCGCAGTCAAGGACCTCCTCCTCGCCCTTGACCCCACAGACTTCACTGTCGACTTGCTCGAGGAGCACCTCCTAGCAGCTGAGACTAGCACAGTCGCTGTAGGTGCTTCTCGTGGCACTCCTCGCACTCCCTTCTTTGAGGGGTGCTCGCCCTCCCCCCTGGTCCCCTCAGTCGCTTCTGTTGCAGCTGTTGACTACCTTCGTGCTGAGGAGGTAGGAGCTGCGTCTGCCCCTAGTAGGAGGCGCCACAGCGGTAGGGGCACGGGAGGTAGGGGCGTTGGGGGTGGCAGCGGTGAATGTGGTGGTGGGGGCGGTGGAGGCGGTGGAGGTGGCAGTGGTGGCGGAGGGAGTGGTGGTTGGGGTGGAGGTGTAGGTGGCCGCGGTGGTGGCGGCAGTGGGAGTGGTGGCGGCGGCAGTGGTGGCGGCAGTGGGAGTGGAGGCGGCGGCAGTGGTGGCGGCCGGGGTGGTACCAGTCAGAGGGGAGGCTTTGGCGGTGGTCAGAGGCAGCAGCAGCAGCGTCAGCGTGAGACCCCGCCCCAGGAGCTTCGTGAGTGGTTTGCTCAGCGTGGGGCGTCTGGTGGTAGTGGTCGCTGCCCGTATGACATTCGCACAGGTGACCGCTCTGATACCATGTCAGCAGAATGAACGAGAATGAATGAACTAGCAGCATGCAGGAGTACAAGTAGCAAATCCTAATTGGGTTGTACCCCATATGGGCAAAGCGGACGTGCATGGAATTTTGGTAGCTAAATAAAATTACCAGCACGGACAGATTACCTTATGCCAACTGCAGAAGACATTTTTGAGGACACACAAAGCAGCAGCAGCAGCTACCACACATGAATGCCGAGGACGCAGCCATTTACAAAGAGAAGTGTGAGGAGTGTCAGGATCGAGTTACGGTACCGCCACGGTGGTAGCTGCTAGGAAGGACAGCACGGAAAAGGTGCTGGCAAAGCGGACGTGCAGGGAATTTTGGTAGCTAAATAAAATTACCAGCACGGACAGATTACCTTATGCCAACTGCAGAAGACATTTTTGACCGACTAGAAAGAGCCACAATCTTCACTACCCTGGACGTGCGGCAAGGATTTAACCAAATCGTTATTAAAGAAGAAGACAAACGGAAGACGTCTTTCCATGGGGTGGACGGGCTGTACGAGTACAGTGTGAAATGGATTCCAACGACAGCTTGCTACATAGATGATGTGCTGATTTTCAGCAGCAGCGATGAACAGAATGTGCGGGATTAAAAAGCAGACTCTGAAGGCGAAAACATGTGCGGGATTAAAAGCAGACTCTGGAGGCGATAGCAGCAGGGGGACTGCCGTGTCATCCAGACAAATGCAATATAACAAGGCGCACGGTAGCTTACATGGCTTTGAAGTGAAGGGCGGTCGGCTGGCGATACAGGAAGCAAAGGTGCTGGAGAACTTGGCAGCAACAAGGGACAAGACTGGTTTACGAGCACTCCTCGGCTTCATGAACTACTATAGGAAGTTCGTACCTAACTTCAGCCGCCGCGCCAATGTCCTGAATCAACTGCTGAGGGGGGGGAGGAGCTGGAAGTGGGGAGAGTCAGAGGGGGCAGCCAAGAAGGACGTGCTGGAAGCAGTTAGGACGCAGATGGGCTTTCAAGGAACCAACCACCGATGCATCCGGTTGCACAGCTGGCAGCCTTGGCTCAAGTAGCAACCGCGACCTGGGGGCACGAGAAAGGGGAGAAGCGGCTGGTCGATATCTGGGAGGATGAAGAGACCATGAGCTGGATAAAGGGCGAGCCGCTAGAGGAAGAAAGAGTAACCGAGAGAGCAAGGGCAAGGGGGCAGCATTAGAGATGGTTTCAGGAGCAGCTGCAGCTGAGGACAAGCAAAGGTTGGAGGGTGGTTCCGCAGCCGCAAGAGAGAGACAAGATAATGCGGAAGGTTCATGGGAAGTTGCAGCATTACGACATAACCAGGACACGGCAGCTACTGAGCACCATGTACTGCTGGGCTGGCATGGAGAAGGATGTGGCATGTTTGGTAGCCAGCTGCGAAGCATGTCAGTGAAATAAAGTCAGGCTAGAGAAGGAGAGGGACAAGCTGCACTCGTTACCAATTTGAGGGCTAGGTTACAGGTGGTCGCTGGATCTCGCGGGAGAGTAGCCACTGTCGGAGGGAAATAGTACATTCAGGTGATGATCAAGCATACGAGTAAATGAGTGGAGGCGCGAGCTTTACCTAGTAAGAACGTTGGACTGATAACAGATGCGTTTGTGGAGCAGGTACCCATCAGGTATGGAGCATGTGGAGGGCTGCCTACTGATCAAGGGACCGAATTTCAGGAAAACTTTGATGAGCTTTGATGAGCTGCTAGAAGAGTTGGGTATCATTCATCGGGTTACTTCAAGGTATCACCCTTAATTGAATGGAGACCGAATTTCAGGAGGACTTCGATGAGCTGCTAGAACAGATGGGTATCACTCATCGAATCACTTCAAGGTATCACCCTCAATCGGATGGACTGACCAAGAGACTCATACAAACCCCGAAGAAATGACTTTGGACCTACGATGAGACACACAAGAGGAGTTGAGACCGGTCACCGGGAACTGTGGTGGGTGCTGGCGGGTTATCGGTTTACGAAGCAAGCAGCGCATAAAAATTTGTCCCGTTACCACCTGCTGTACGGGCATGACCCAGTGCTGAATGTTGATGCATCGAAGCTGCTCTTGGCAACAATTGAGGGAGACGAGCTGAACCTGTGGGCGGAGCTAGCACAAAGGAGGGCGAGGTTTCTGAAGGAGCTGACCCCAGCCGCGTTGGATAATTTACAGACGGCGCAGTTGCGAGATGCAAGGCGGCAGCAAGGATAGGAGGAAAGCGAGAGAAGGTGGAGGCGGGACACGGGGTGTACTTACGAAAGGCGAAGTGAGACACGTTAGACCTAGCTGTAGGCTCGGAACGCAGGAAGGTGAAAGAGGTGCGGAGTTCGGGGGTGCTGGTGCTGGAGGATAACCGAAGGGAGTGCATCAAGGAGCATATTACCAATGTGGCAAGGGCAAAACAAGGGCGACTTCAGGCATTGGATCCTGTGATCTGAGCGGCTAGAATGGGCGTTCAGACACGAGAGGGGGTAGGAGAGACAGACAGAGTAATTACATACTCCAAGAGGAAGAAGGGATGAGCCAGGACACTTGTACGAGAAGCATTGAATGAGGAAGAGAAGCAGGACAGTTAGAGAGTCAAAGGAGATGGAGGACGGAGAGTCAGCAAAAGGAGACCCACGACACATATCCTAAAATATGTATTTTCATCGTACAAGATGCGCTCTTCAATTTTGTTAATTCCTGCCCTACATGTTACACAACAATTTGTGTGAGGATCAAATTGGATTTCATTCTCACTTGAAACACGTTGTTGCGCGACTCTCAACCACACATCCGGTGGGACACTGCTCGCATATGCATTTTGAGTTTTTTTTTTGCTTTCAACTTTGTTTCCTTAGTTTGGCCCATCACCCGCACGCCGCCGCGCCCGCGCCCGCCCTCGCACTCGCCTCGCCCGCCCCCCGCGCCCGCGCCCGCCCTCGCACTCGCCTCGCCCGCCCCCCGCGCCCGCGCCCGCCCTCGCACTCGCCCCGCCCGCCCCCCGCGCCCGCGCCCGCCCGCCCCCCGCGCCCGCGCCCGCCCGCCCCCCGCGCCCGCGCCCGCGCCCGCCCGCCCCCCGCGCCCGCGCCCGCCCGCCCCCCGCGCCCGCGCCCGCCCGCCCCCCGCGCCCGCGCCCGCCCGCCCCCCGCGCCCGCGCCCGCCCGCCCCCCGCGCCCGCGCCCGCCCGCCCCCCGCGCCCGCGCCCGCCCGCCCCCCGCGCCCGCGCCCGCCCGCCCCCCGCGCCTTGAGCGCCTGGCGCCCGCCCGCCCGCCCCCGCGCCCGCCCGCCCTAACGCCTTGAGCGCCTGGCGCTTTGAGCGGAGGCGCCTGGAAAGCTGGCGCCTTTGAGCGCTGATGCATTCAGCGCTGCGCCTTGAGCGCTAGCTCATTCAGCGCAGTTGCATTCACCCTCTCCGTTCTTTCTTCTTTGCCTTTCCCTGTCGTTCGCCCTTCTCCCAAAACCCACCTTACATCAGGTCTTTCACCAAGGATGGTTCCCCTCGCCTTTGCCTTTCCACCTACCCCTCCCATTTTTTTCCCTTTCTCTGCCGTTCGCCCCTCCCCCACACACACCACGTGGCAGGTCATTCAGCAAGAGCCCTTTCCCGACCGTTATCACGACGCTTGAAGAACCTGATGAACTTGTACGTGCGTGCATGCATGCTTTAATAATTCAGTTTGATAGTTTTCAGTAGTTTTATGTTTTTTTTAGAAATTTTTGAATACTCTAGCCCTCCAGAATTTTTTGGAATTTTTATGTTGTTTTTTTGAAAATTTTCAGCAAGGGCCTCTTTTAGAAATTTTTGAATACTCAAGAGACAGCTGCGTGGTGTTACAGACCGACATTTCAAATGCCTTTAACAGCATTTCACGCCAGGCAATCATCGACGGGTTACGCGACAACAGCCTTTCGTCACTGCTCCCACTGGTCCGGCTTACTTATGGTAACCCGTCGAAGCTGTACCTCGACTCGAACTTCGCTAGCGACCCTCTCAACAGCGAACGCGGCGTGAGGCAGGGGGATCCACTCGGCCCTCTACTGTTCGCAGCTGGGATACACCCTGCCCTTCGGGAAACTGCCACAACACACCCACAGGTACTCTGCTTGGCATATGCGGACGACGTCACATTTTTGGGGGACGACAAGGACACTGTAGCAGCATTCACCCTCTTCACTAGCAAGCTAGCGCAACTGGGGCTGAAACACAACCCACAGAAATGTGCTGCCTGGAGCACAAACGGGGACGAGTCAACCCAGCTGCCACCAGGGGTCCCGTTTTCGAAGGACGGGATACGCCTACTCGGCAGCTTCCTGGGGCCGGCAGCTGGCGCCGCCAAATTCCTAGCAGGGCAACTAGATGAAATGGCGAAGCCGCTGCCGCTCTTAGAACGGGCCGACCCCCAAGTAGCCTCCCTGCTCCTGACCCGCTGCATTTCTAGACGAGTCGCCTACCTCACTAGAACCACGCCGCTAAACCTCCTTCCACGAGACACCTGGGCACAGTGGGGAAGGGACCTTCTAGCCGCGCTCTTGACATCATGCGGGATTAGATTTCCTACCTGTAGCACGGAGCAGACGAGAGTGTGGGCGCAGGCATCACTTCCATCATCCCTAGGCGGGCTGGGAATCACGGACCCACTTGTAGAAGGCGTCTACGGCTTCGTAGCCAGCTTCACACAGGCAGCTCTGTTCTTTTCCTCACTCACGCTAGCACCAGACACCGCGCTGACACAAGCACACAGCCACATGATTCTTCCCCGTGACAACACCACCCCGCTCCATTCCTGGCTCACGGTGTGTGAGACATCCATGCCCACAGACGCACGCGAAATACTTGTTCGGGAGCGGCTCTCTCGGTCGGAAATCAAGCTGCAGCACACGTTAGCCCTCAAAGTCCAGGGTACTAGATACGCTGTGCAAGTCCAGGATACGAGACGAATGAAGCTGAACCCGCTCTACGGGCACACACAGAGGATGTACTCGCTCACAGGCTACGGAACAGGGGACTGGCTGACGGCCGTACCGGTGGCAACATCAAGGCGCATAGGCCCAGTACACTTCAGCAATGCCGTTCGTTTCCGGCTGGGTCTCCCCTTCTCCACCCCAAAGCAGTGCGATTGCACAGATCACACAGCTATCACAGACCCGCGCCTCCCCAACCACCTCTTCCGCTGCGGCACGGGCAAACACCGTACGAATACCCACAACGAACTCCGCGACGCATGCATCAGCATGGCGCAAGACGCGGGATTCATCGTTCACAGGGAAACCAACGTGTACTGCCCCATCGAGGAGCAAACAGCAGATTTTACCATGACAGACAGAAGTAGTGGGGCGGTTTGGGTGTGTGATGTGACGGTCACGGACCCAATTAGCACTAGGGATCCAGAGGCGCAGAAAGGCAGGGGTTGGGCAGCCCGGGAGCAGGCAGACAAGAAGATAAAGCACTACGCAAACCGGCCAGAGACAGTGGGCTTCTTCCCACTCGCAGTAGAGACCTACGGCTGCCCTTGCGCCGAGGTTCCTGTGTTCCTGAAACTCCTTGCAGACACGGCGGCTCGGCGATACTTCAACGCCGACTCAAAATCATTTCATGCCGCGAAGTTCTTGCACCAGTTCAGGCAGAGGTGGTCGGTTGCACTGCAGAGGGCCCAATCCGTGGGCCTCATGATCAAACTAGGGGAGGCGGCTGCTGCAGAGAAACCACCTGTAGGAGGGATAGAGGGACTGTTTTACTGTCCTGGAGCCTCTTCTTGAGCTGTAGGTGACTTAGGGGGATTGGTTAGCCAAGGCTCCATTGCATGTTAGCACCGTGCCGTTGTTGATTTTATGTGTGTACCCTCCTGGCTTATCAATATACGGACCATTAGAGAGAGAGAGAGAGAGAGAGAGAGAGAGAGAGAGAGAGAGAGAGAGAGAGAGAGAGAGAGAGGATCCTAGCCTCTGCCCTCTCCCCTTTAGCCCTCTGCCCTCTCCTTTGTGAGCTATATAAGAGGCCCCTCTGGGCCTCTTCATCTCATTGTTGAGTTGGTGCAGAAAAATTTCGCTCGTTCGAGAGAGCGAGAGAGAGAGAGAGAGAGGATCCTAGCCTCTGCCCTCTCCCCTTTAGCCCTCTGCCCTCTCCTTTGTGAGCTATATAAGAGGCCCCTCTGGGCCTCTTCATCTCATTGTTGAGTTGGTGCAGAAAAATTTCGCTCGTTCGAGAGAGAGAGAGAGAGAGAGAGAGGATCCTAGCCTCTGCCCTCTCCCCTTTAGCCCTCTGCCCTCTCCTTTGTGAGCTATATAAGAGGCCCCTCTGGGCCTCTTCATCTCATTGTTGAGTTGGTGCAGAAAAATTTCGGCCTTCGGCCGCGCGTTTGGGGTGGCAAGAACAAAAGGGGAAAGGAGGAGTTACCCAGGGTGCGGTACAAGCATGCAAGAATAGGACTGAAGGAGCTACACCAAGGTAAGTCCCCAACTATGGGGAAGAAGAAGCTGACAACCAAAACAGCAGCCAAGGCAACACCTACATCCGCTTCACCCGCCGCCCAAGCCACCGGAGCACTCACGCGATCGCAGGGACGATCCCAAGCGGGCACTCCTCAGCAGCCGTGTCTACCATGCGGAAAGCCGCAGCGCCAGGTCCGTCGTCCAGCAAAGGGTCCGCGGGCTCAAGCGGCAGATGCAGAACATCCCACAGCGCACCCGACACTGCACGCCGCACCCGCCCCTGCTGGTCTTCATTCATCTGCGGATCCCGGGCCACCACCTCCCGCGACTGAAGGGCGTCATGCAGGAGGTCAAGCACGAACGACAGCTCTGTCACGCAGCGGCCAACCTCCTCCAGGTTCATCCCACGGGACTGGTAAGCCCCGTCTCCAGGCCGCGGCTCCCCCCAAGGAGGGCTCGGGAGGGGAGTGTTCCAGTTCCAGTTCCCTTCGCGCGGCACACGGGGCCACGAGACACCATCCCAATCCACCTCTGGGTCACGAGGGGTGCCAGGCACCTCGTCTTCGCTCCAGTAGCCGCGGGAGAGGCCAGGCACCGGCTGACGCTGCGGGAACAGAGGGAGTGCAGGATGGCGGGGGACGGGGAAACGGCAGGACACAGCAGATGAGCGATGGGCAGGGGAGAACATCACGCGGCGAGCGGGGAGGAGACGACAACGAGGGGGAACTCACAAATCCGAACCGAGCCGCAGGGAGACGAGACCCCGGCACAAGGGGGTGCTGGCGCTGAGTTCCGCGAGGGGCGGGAACATGAAAAGGGAGCCCGCGAGGGCCAGGAGGAGCAGACGCTGCCACATCCAGCCGAGGTGGGTATGAATACGCAAACGGCGCAACAGGAGTTGGCCCCGACGAGGGCGGTGCATGAGGCGGAGGATGCGGTTGAGGCAGCGGCAACGCCGAGCCTGGCCCTGGTGCCGACGACGGGGCATGTGTCTGTCCACCGACAGGAGGTGCAGGATCGGGCTGAGGAGGCGGAGGGACGGAGGCAGAGGGACACGTCCGCGGAGGCAACGCCGACTCCGGCGCTGGAGGGGTCGGCCGCGACGGAGGGATTGGCGGCGCAGACTGCGCTGGCGCCGCCGGCACACAGGGGAGAGACGACGCGGACTCTGACTGGGGCGGAGGGAGTTGCAACGGCTGGGACTACGCGGCAGGAGCTTGAAGCTGGGGTCGAAGACGAGCCGTGCCAGAGGGTGGCGGGCGAGGGGGACGGCGACGACGGAAAGAATGGCCGCGCGCACGGAGAAACGGATGAGTGCGCCCGCGAGGGGAGCGTTACACATGCTCCCTCGGTCGTGCAGGCGTGCTCGGTGGCGCAGAAGGCGCGGCGCCAACACCCGCAGTCAGGCAGTCCGCGACGGCTCGGAACAGGGCTGGCACCTGCCCGCCCTGGGCCGCTGGTAGGGTGGGCACAGCAGGAGATCCCGCCGCCACGATCACATCACGCCGAGGTGGCCGGCGCCGGCCCGTCATCAGGTACGGGGGACGAGGCGGGACGGCCCCACGAAACAGCTGAACGGGTGGAGGCCGAGGCGGAAGACGGGGCGGCGGCCGTAGAGGAGGAGCAAGTGACCGCGATCGACCAGCGAGGGGGAACACCGCGGCAGAGGCTGCTGCGAGAACGCGCGGCTGAGGCGGCGGCGGGAAACCCGCCAGCAGGAGCACGGGGACGAGCGCCGGGGGCGCCGAGGGGACGCGGCGGACGGGGTGCGCGCGGAAGGGCAGGGCGAGGAGGCCTTGCGGCAGCTGTGGCTAGAGAAAAAGCCAGATCTGGGCCTTGGCGGGAAAGGCACGAGAGGCCGGAGCGACAGCAGGGGGGAGATCCAATGAATGATTGCGAGGATGATGGGGACGAGGAATATATGGAGGAGGAACAGGGGGATTCGGAGGACGTGTCACTGGAGGATGAGCAAGGTATCCCAGCAGGAGGGGCAAATCGAGGAGCAAGGGGTGAGGGAAACCATGCTGACGCCAACGAGGGTGAGTCACGTGGCGTCCAACCCAGTGAGACGGCCAGCAAGGCAAGATCGCCAGCAGACATCACCGATGACTCAGACGCCTGGCGCCAGGTGGAAGGGTGGGAACTGGGGCCACTGTGTTGCAGCGCCCAACCCTTTCTGTTCCAGAAGCTTCCCCCCAAGATCCTGGGAGTCTACGCCTACTGCATGATGATCCCCCTGCAGCGACTCGCGAAGGTTCCAGGCTGCGCGGGTGCGTGGCGAATCCTGCAATTCCTACCCAGGTTGACCCTCCGAGCCGAAATTGAGAAGGGTCCTGGAAACCGCTGGGCCGTGGTTGAGAAGCGACTTTAGCAATTTCAAGAAGAAGAATGGGAGGTGCTGTTCTCGGAAGCCTGCACCATTCCCCCGAATCCCCAACCAAGCAGACACCAACCAGACCCTGAAGGCATGTGTGCCAGAGCGGAGGGCCTAGTACAAAAGGCGAACTTGGCGAAGGCCTTAGCGGCGTTACAGTCAACCCCGCTCGCTGAGCAATCACCAGCGACACTCGCTGCACTTCGCGCTAAACATCCGATGGCCGGGGAGGCAACACCAGGATGGGTTACCGGATACGAATCGTCGTCCCTGAGAATTGCTGCCGACGAATTTCGCGAAGTCCTAGCTAAGTGCCCGAATGGGATTGGGGCTGGGCCATCGGGCACGTGCTTTGAACACTTACGTGACCCCGCGCTGCTGAACGGGGAGGTCTTCACGCACCTGCACCAAGTAATCAACTCACTGATGAGCACTTACCTTAGCGCGCCCATAAGGGATCTTCTCCTACCGTCGAGGCTGATAGCTCTGGAGAAGCCAGGAGGAGGGGCAGACCGATAGCAATCGGCGAAGCGATAATTAGGCTAGCGGCGAAAACGGCGCTGCGGAAACTCTCGCCCGATATCCGACAGTTCTTCCTCCCAGTCCAGTTCGGCGTGGCGGTGCCCGGAGGAGCAGAGACAGTAATACACGCTACCCGAGCATTGCTGGCAGACGACCCAACTCGAATCGCAATACAGCTGGACGTCGAGAACGTATTCAACTCCGTAGAACGGGGGAGTTTCTTCACGGCACTCAAATGGACGGCGCTTGAGCAGCTTCTACCGCTAGTTTGCACGCTGTACGGCTCACCGGTACGCCTCCTCCTAGATCCGGGCTTCGACGAACGGTACATCGAGAGCGCTCGAGGTGTGCGCCAGGGAGACCCACTGGGGCCGATGCTCTTTGCGGCGGCCATACAGCCAACCCTGCTGAGGGCTGCGGCAATGTGCCCCACGACGGTGGTAATGGCGTACGCGGACGATATCACAATCATCGGCGCTCCGGCGGAGGCGATTAAGGGAGTGAACGTCATCACGGAGGAGCTACGCAAGTGCGGACTGCGGTGCAACTTGGAGAAGTCATCGGCGTGGTGCCCGGCAGGGTGCTCGGATGTACTCCCTGAGGGGCTGGTGGCAACGATCGACGGGATACGGGTGCTGGGGAGCCCGGTGGGGACTAGAGAGTACGGGAGGAGGTCCATACGAACGACCCTGAGCACAGTGGCGGTGCCACTGAACCTCATCGGCAAACTGCACCCACAGCACGCACTCCTCCTCCTCTCGAGATGTGTGTCGCGACGCGTCTCTTACATGCTCCGAACCACCCCGGCCGACACACTTCCACTGGTGGAATGGAGGAACTGGAGTGAGGAACTGCTGTGGACGGCATTAAAAGCAGCAAAGATGCACGCCCCTACGAGCGAACTGGAGCAGAGCCTGGTCTGGCGCCAAGCAACGCTACCAGTGTGCCTCGGGGGCTTGGGGCTGATAGACCCGCTTTCCGAGGCACCGGCAGCATACCTGGCTTCCCTACACGCAGCAAACACTCTCCTCAGACACACGGCGATGGCGGCAGACAACCCCCTGCAGCAGGTGACAGACCCGGTGTAGCCAATGGGAGGAATCCAGGGGGAAGCGGCAGGAGGGGGGACGCTCCAGGACCTTCGGAACCGGCTCCCAGAGCAGGCTCGGGAAGTCCTGAAGGCGCACCACCAGAAGGGGGAGGTAAAGGGGCACCTGCAGCGGATCCTCTCAAAGCACATCAACCTAGACAGGGCGGACGAGCTCGTGGGGGACACAAGGGCGGACAAGCCTGGAGCCGACAACGGACACGTGATCCGGCTCATCAGCCTGCAAGGGGTGGGGGCAGGAGATTGGTTACATGCTATCCCTACGAGATGTGACCTCACTTTCTCCCCCGGTCAGTTTGCGGTGGCGCTCGGCTTCCGGCTGGGTCTGCCCCTGGCGGTCACGAAAAAGTGCCCATGCAAGGGGAAGCGGTTAGACATCAGGGATAGGAGCCTACCGAACCACCTGCTGCAGTGTGCCGATGGAGGGGACAGGACTAACACCCACAACGCCCTGGTGTACGCGGCGCTCCGGATGGCTTAGGAAGCGGACTACACAACCTTGCACGAGTCAGCGGCCTTCTCGCCTATAACCAACCAAAAGCGAGCGGACTTGGTGATTCGCAACAAGGAGTCCAATGAGACCTATGTCACTGACGTGACGGTCACGGACCCTGTCCTACAGCGGCGTGACAAGAGAGCGGTAAAGGCACCAGGGTGGGCGGCAGAGGACGCGTTAAGAGTGAAGCGGGGCCTGTATGAGGGCCGCCCGGGTTTTGTAGGGGTGTTCGGTCTGGCGGTGGAAACCTACAGGGCCCTAGCTAAAGACACCCAACGGTTCCTCCGCCTCCACGGCACCCAGGCTGCAAAGAAGAAGCACAACCAGGGGAGGCTGACTGCTGTAGCCTCCCGAATCACGGCGGTAATGCTCCAGCGCTGCCAAGCAAATGCCCTGATGGCCAAGTCCAACAGGGCACTTGAGGCAGCGCACCCACAGGCAGCGGCTGACCCGTGGAAACCAAGCCTCGGGGACCTGTGGCAGGTCCTCGAGGATGACCTGGCCCAGCTACTCGACTTCGGTGAGTAGAGGGCCGGGCCAACCCCTAGTGGCTCGCCCAACCGCAGGAGGCTCTCCTCGGCTGGGCAGGAGAAGGGGGGGGGATTGAGGCGCCCTGCAGGAGGTTGGGCAGGCCAGCAGTGATGCAGCCGTGAGGACGGGTGCAGTGACTATGCAGCTTAGCATGGCAGACAGGCCCAACGAATACATTGTATATGAATATGGTCATTATAGAACTTGCATGCCTAGGCCACCATGCTTGCTAGGATTGCTGTTGCTTTGCCTGTACCTTATACGCACATCAATGAAGGACTGCTTGAGAGAGAGAGACCCTTGGGTCCTAGTCCTTAGCCATTTCTTAGCCTAGTTCCTTAGCCTAGCCTAGTCCTTGGCCACTCCCGCCCAGTTCTCTAGTATATACGGGCAAGGAGCCCATTCTCCTCCTCATTGTTTGGTGGTGAGTTCATTCTCACTGCAAAAATCGGCGCCTCGCGCGACAGCGCGGCCTTCAGCCGCGCGAGAGTGGTGGCAAGGAAATAGCAACAATCACAATTAGCGGGACATACAACATGCAGCAGTAGCCACGCCCAAACACCACGGGCAAGGTAAGTAGGACGGGGAAAGGATGGGGAACAAAAAGGCAAATGGCAAGGCCCAAAAGGGGGAGAACACTAAACGTGGTTCAACACGTAAAAACGCTGGCGGATCCAGCGGAGCAATGACGCTAGCGCAGGCACAAGCTGCAGGGGTGCTTCTTCGGCAGCCGTGGCGACCCTGCGGAAAGCCCTCGCGCCCGGCCCCTCGTTCTCGTCAGGATGCTCGGACTCCAGGGGCAAGCGGAGGAGCCTCCACAAGCCTTGCGCCGCAGCCTCACGGGCAACACCCTGCTGCTGCTCGGTCAGCTGGGGATCCCGCAGCACGAAGTTCCGCGCCTCCAGACCAGCATCCAGCTGCTCCAGCGCCGTCGCCACGTGGGAGAGGCACTCGCCAACACCAATCATGCGCCGCTCCCAACGGAGGACATCAAGGACGAAGTCGGACTTCATGTCCCAGTCCCGACCCCACGTCGTCCCGGACAGAGGAGGAGACTCCCACAGCTCGCCGTTCCACCACTTCTCGTCGTCCTCAGGATCAGGTGCGTCGGGCGGAAGCGGGGGAGACTCTGCACAAGGCCGAGGCAGAGGGAAACGAGCGACGGGTGCAGGGTCAAGAGAAACGAGGGGATGCTGCCGCTGAGGAGGCTCAGACAGAGGATCAGCAGCGACAAGTGACTGAGCGGGAAGGGGGGGCACGAGATGTGCACCAGCGGGCGACACTGGCTGCGGAGGCACCGGAAGGGGAGGCGGGAGAGAGCCCGCTGCCGTTAGCGGCACCGACGTCAACGCAGGAGAGGCCACCAAAGGGGACGAGGCAGCTGGACCGGACGACTGCTGCTGGGATGACTGCTGAGACGACGGTGGAGGAGGCTGAGGAGGAGGCGGGTGCGGTACCAGCGGAGAGGGCGCCTGGAGATGCGGACTGAAAAAATTGTCGCTGCAGGGCAGGCGGTGGCCGAGGCGGTCGGCGACGACGAAAGGAACCACCACGGGCCCGCAGATGAGGGTGGCTACGCCCGCGGGGTGAGCGATACACTGGCTCACGCCGATGAGAGGGGGCCCCGGCCCCCTCGCGCGCGACCAGGGCAGCGGCGGCTTGGAATAGGACTGGCGCCAGCTCGTCCCGGGCCTATGGCGGGTTGGGAACAGCACAGTACCCTGCCGCGCGATCCCGCCGCTGACGTTTTCCCGTCATCACAGCAGCGCCACGAGGCTCAGGAGGAGGGGGAGGTGGAGCGACGGGCGGTAGAGCAGGCAGATGACGAGGCTCAGGAGGAGGAAGCGGTGTTGGCGGCAAGCGCCGCGGAACGGAGAAGGCGGGCAAGAACAAGCCGGCAGAGAGTGCTTCAAGAACGAGCGGATGACCTAGCCGCGGGCCAACAGCCGCAAAACGCGGCGGCGAGGGCGGCCACCAGAGGCCGCAGACGAGGCCGAGGCAGGGGCGGGCGCGTGGGCGAGCTGGTGAGAGCGGTTGCAAGGGAGAAGGCCAGATCTGGAGGAGGATATTGGGGAGGAACCAATGAATGAACATGCATGGGAGGAGGGGTCATAATATATGGAGGAACAAGAGGAGGAGTCGAAAGACGTATCTGTCGAGGCAGAGGATGGGATCCCCACAAATGGGGACGGGGGTAGACGACATGGAGGCGGACAGGGACGAGAGGATCGAGAAAATCACGCGCAGGTGGGCGAATCAGAGGTCCAGGGGGCCAACGATGCTGCCAGCAAGGAGAGGGCACCCCTGAAGATTGCTGAGGATGAGAACACGTGGCACAAAGGTACTGGACTGGGATCTGGGACCTCTCCGTGCCAGCGCACAACCGTTCCTGGTCCGGAGACTCCCTCCAGAAATCCTGAAGGTGTTCAGCCACTGCATGACCGTACCACTCCTGCGACTCTCGAAGCATCCAGACTGCCTCGGTGCGTGGCGGATGTTACAATTCCTCCCCAGGCTCACATTACGGGCGGAAATGGAGACAGCACCGGGAAACAGATGGCAGGCAGTCGAGGCCCGGCTTCGACAGTTCCGAGAAGAGGAGTGGGACGCACTGTACACCCCGGCCAGCACTTTCCCCCCAAACTCAAAACCGGACAGGCACGAACCGGACCCTGAAGGAATCTGCGCCAGAGCAGAAGGGCTGGTACGGAAAGCCAACCTGGCGAACGCGACAGCAACGCTACACACCTCGCCACAAGCCGAGCCCTCGCAAGCAACACTGGAAGCTCTTCTCTCTAAACACCCAACCCAGGAACTGGCGATACCGGAGGGGATCACGGGTTACGCAACTTCCGAGCTCGCAATCAGGACGGAGTCGTTTCGCGAAGTACTGGCAAAATGCCCAAACGGGATAGGAGCAGGGCCATCAGGGATGTGCTTCGAGCACTTACGCGACCCTGCCTTAACCAACTGGGAGGTCTTCGCTCTCCTCCACAAGGTAGTTAATCGGCTGCTAAGCACCTACCAGATCGAGGCGGTACTGGAGCTGCTGCTCCCATCCCGGCTAATCGCCCTGGAGAAGCTGGACGGAGGAGTCCGACCAATCGCGATAGGGGAGGCGCTGCTCAGAGTGACGGCCAAAGCGGCGCTAAAGAAACTGGCGGGAGAAATCCGGGAATACTTCCTACCCGTACAATTTGGAGTGGCCGTACCTGGAGAAGCGGAGTGCATCATTCACTCGACAGGGGCGCTAGTGGCGGAGGACCCCACGAGGGTGATCCTACAGTTAGACATTGAAAACGCATTCAATTCGGTGGAGCGAGGAAATTTCCAATCGACGCTACAATGGACCGGCTTGGCGTCACTCGTGCCATTAGCCCGCACGCTCTACGGCGCACCATCGAAACTCCTGCTGGATAGCGGGTTCGATACGCTCCACATCAACAGTGCGCGAGGAGTGCGACAGGGAGACCCGCTCAGACCAATGCTTTTCGCGGCGGCCATCCAACCGGCGCTCCTAGCGGCGGCGGAGGCAGATCCAACGGTGACCGTGATGGCATACGCGGACAACATCACAATCGTGGGCGAGCCGGCGAGGACAACAAGGGCGCTAAATAAGATACGGGACGGATTGGGAGCTTGCGGCCTACGGTGCAACCTGGCCAAATCATCCGCCTGGAGCCCGTCGGGATTTACAGGCCAACTCCCGGAAGGCCTGGCGACGGCAGTGGACGGAGTGCGGGTGCTAGGGAGCCCGATTGGCAAAACTGCATTCTGCCAGCGGACCATCAGGGGGACACTCGAGGCAACGGCGGCACCGTTGGGGCTCATCGGCAAACTCCACCCGCAACACGCACTGCTACTCCTATCGCGGTGCATCTCGCGCAGGATCTCGTACCTCTTACGGACAACACCAGCGGACGTACTCTCCCGCAGAGAATGGAGAGAGTGGAGCGAGAGACTCCTATGGACAGCGCTGAAAGCGGCACACCTACACACGCCGAGTAAGAAATTGGAGCAGAGCCTGGTGTGGAGGCATGCGACACTGCCGATTGCGCTCGGGGGTCTGGGAATCATAGACCCGCTCTCAGAGGCACCTTCAGCATACCTGGCCTCACTGCAGGCGGCGCAGACTCTCCTACAGCACGTATCAGCAACTCCCAGCCACCCCGTGCAGCGCGTGGCGGCACTGGTGTCACCACACGGGGACGGAGCCATGGGGGAGGGCGAAACATCCATCAGAGACCTACGGAACAGACTCCCCGAAGCGGCAAGGGAGCTGCTGCGGGCGACGGACAGGGGCGGGGAGGGGAAAGGACGACTGCAAGAACACCTCTCTAGGCTGGTAAACATGGATAGGGCAGCGGAACTAGTAGGGGACATGTGGGTGGACAAGGCAGGCGAAGACAATGGCCACGTCGTCCGCTTGATCAGCTTGCAGGGAGTGGGAGCGGGGGACTGGCTCCATGCCATCCCTACACGGGCGGACCTTACGTTCTCACCAGGCCAGTTCGCAATGGCCTTGGGCTTTCGGCTGGGCCACACCTTAGCAGTGACGGACAACTGCCCGTGCGGAAAGCGTCGGTCCAAGATAGGCGACAAAAGCCTCCCCAACCACCTGCTGAGATGTGCGGAGGGGAAGGATAGGACAAACACACACAACAGCCTGGTGTACGCGGCGCTACGGATGGCCAACGAAGCTGACTATATGATCGCCCATGAGACCACGACCTTCTCGCAAATTGTTAACCCCAAGCGAGCGGACCTGGTCATCAAGGACAAGGAGTCAACGGAAACCTATGTGACCGACGTCACAGTGACTGACCCAGTGCTGCAGCATCGAGACACGTGGGCAGTGAAGCCGCCGGGCTGGGCGGCAGAGGACGCGGCAAGGGGGAAAAGGGGCATGTACGAGGGACGGCCGGAGTTTGTTGGCGTGCTTGGCCTGGCGGTGGAGACCTATGGGGCCCTGGCCAGGGACACCCAGAGATTCCTACGCATGCTCGGGACACAGGCGCCCAAGAAAAGGTACAGACAGGGGAGGCTCACCACGGTTGCCTCCAAGCTCACTGCACAAAACCGACAGCGCTGGTCGATAATGCTACTGCGCAGCCAGGCCAATACCATGCTGGCCAAGTCGAATAGGGCCACGGAACGGGCCTTCCCCCAGGCGCCAGCAGACCCGTGGGAGCCCCGCCTAGGGGACCTCTGGCAGGTCCTGGAGGACGATCTGGACTAGGGGCCGGGCCTAGATGTGTGAGGGGCCCGGGCAAAGGGGACCCCAGGCAGCGGTGCCCGGGTGACAGGCACTTGGTAGACCCTGGCTAGCCGAGCCAACTAGCAGGATGGAGATAGGTCGTTGCTTGTTTGCTTGCTTGCTTGTTTGCCGGCTGGTTGGCTTGTTCGCTAGACTACATGCTAGGATGACTGATTCTTACATGCCTGGCCTGTACCTTGCTTACTATCAATGAAGGACTGCTTGAGAGAGAGGGGAGGAGAGGGATGAGAAGTACGAAAAGGGGAGGTGAGAGGGGGATGAGGAGAGGAGGTGGGGGGGAGGGGCGTCGCGGCGAACCTGTCTTACTAACCTCCTTTTTGCCAAGGGGGAGGTGAGAGAGGGATGAAGAGAGGAGGTGGGGGGTCCAGGCGCGGCGAACCCCTCTTACTAACCCCCAAATCCCCACCCCCACTCAACCACCCCCCTTAACCTCACCCCCCTTTTCAGTCGCCCCCTGGAACCTCACCCCCTCCCCCCCACCTTTCCTCCAAGGCCTTCCTAACCCACGGTGGTCCCTGCACAGACCCTCACACAGCAGCCAGCCCCCCCAACCCCCGTCCCTGCCACCTCCCCCCCACAACAGCAGCAACGGGATCGGAGAGGCAGGGTCGAGGGTGGTGCTGTAGTGGCTCACGGCGGCCACCCCTTCCACACCACTTCCCCCCCTCACAGCCGCAGTCGTGGAATGGAAGGCGACGGGGGAGGGGGGGAGGATAGAGGGACGGGCGACAGGGCTGGCGGTTGGCGCTGGTGCTGGTGGCTGGCGTCTGAAAGAAACTATGAAGTATAATCATTAAGATTAGCTCAAGAGAGCACAAGGTTATACAAGGAAGAGAAGGTTGGAGAGGAACCTAAACCTAGCACATAAGACACCAAGACCAAGTAGGCTAGTGGGAGGGAGGACCATCCAACCAACCCTAGTGGGGTGGTGGCCAACCAACCAAAGTTGGTTGCCCCACTTGGCCAACAAGGTTGGAGCCAAGTCTAAGTTAGGATATTTGTGTTCACCCCAATTAGGGTGTCTACTCGCAATACACCCAGAACTAGAGCCTGAACCAACCCAACTGTACACCACTCTTGGTGTACAGTCACAAGTGTTCGCATGCTATAATACATAAATTCTAACACAACCCCTTAGCATGCGAACACATGAAGAGAACAACCCTTGAATCGAGGGGCGCCCGGGCGAGCAAGGCCTAGGAGGCAGAGCAAGGCAGAGTGCGTAGGGCGAGAGAGAGATTTGGTGAAGATGTCAGCCAAGTTAGCCTCGGCCGCAATTTTCCGAACGGCAAGAAGACCCTGCTGGACGAGCTCGCGGATGAAGAAATAGCGCAACTTGATGTGCTTGGAGCGGGCGTGGTAGACAGGGTCCTAGGTGAGATGGATGGTGCTGGCGTTGTCACACCAAAGGGTGGGGCAGCGCTGAGGAGCGCCCAGCTCAGCAAGAAGATAGCAGAGCCAGCGGGACTCCTGAGCGGCCATGGTGCCAGCGTAGAGCTCAGCCTCGCACGAGGAGAGAGCAATAGTAGAAGAACGCGTGGAGTGCCAACTGACAAGGCCGCTGCCAAGGGTGAAGCCATAGCCCTGAGAGGAGCGGCGGTCCGGCTGTGAGTCAGCCCAGGAGGAGTCGCTGAAGCCCGAGAGGAGAGGAGGGGAGGGGCCGCCAAGGGTGAGAACATGGTCCTTGGTCCCGCGAAGATAGCGGAGGACCCGCTTAGCGGCCTGCCAGTGCTCGGTGGTGTGGCGGCCGGTGCCAACGAAGCGCGCAAGCACGCTGATGGGGTAGGCAAGGTCGGGAAGGGTGCACATCATGGCATACATTAGCGACCCAACAAGCTCGGCATAAGGGTGAGAGGAGGAGGAGGGAGAGGTGGGTGGGGCGAGCTGGTGACCGAAAGGTAGGGGGGTGGACACGGGATTGGCCTGC